CCATCAAATTCAAATAACCTTCGCCCTATTACTATTCTTCCAACACTATCAAAAATATTGGAGACGGTCATTGAAATTCAACTAAAAAATTATATAGAAGTGTATACTTCCAAGTGCTCAATCAGGATTTAGACCCAGCTAGAGCTGTGGCACAGCACTGCTTAATATTTCTGATAACTTCTTTAGAGAACTGAATAAAAAGAAATCTGGCGTTTTAATATTACTAGACTACAGCAAGGCGTTCACACTTTAAAACTTTTATTAGCTATTCTTCATTTTATCGGCATGGGATTTCAAGCTTTTACTTTTTTTGGCTCTACTTATGTGACAGAGTTACCTCCAACTTCGGTCCCATTATCAGAGGTGTCGCTCAAGGATCGAATCTGGGGCCGTCCAGGTATGTCATCAAACTAGTAATGAAATCAACGATGAAATCATCGCATTATTTGAGTTTTCCAGTAAACACGATTTAATCTTGAATGCCTCGAAATCTTCGGTTATTCTTTTTGGTTCATTAAAATCAAATGAAATTAATATTAAACTGAATAATAACCAACTGGCTATATCGGAAAAATCGAGAAACTTAGGAATAATCATCGATAAAGATTTGAGCTTTACTGACCATGTATCTCATATTTTACAGAAAGCCTATACAAAACTGAGAACTCTCTACGCTCATTGACATATGCTTAGTAGAGATATGAAGACTCAACTGTGTGATATCCTTGTCCTTTCCCTTACTAATTATTGTGATTATGTCTACGGACCATGCCTCTCACAGCAAGATGAGTTCAGACTACAAAACTTACAAAACTCCTATCTAAGACTAATTTTTGATATTAGGAAATTTGAACGGATATCTCACACATTAATTACACAGGTTTACAAAAAAAAAGTCCGGACTATTTGACCAGACCATGGTATTCCTAGGTATTTTGGCGTCCTGAATCCAATCCCGTGGGTCAGTTTTGCCCCATCACGTTAGATAAACCAGATTTCAAGGTGATTTAGAGGTCAAAATGGTGATTTTTTGGAACTGGCTCCGGAACAATTTCTCAAGCGATCTGTTGAGTTGAGGAGTAACTCCAAACATTGGAAATGGTCTCCAAATCTCGACCAGGACCAGTGCAGGGCCTACCATGTGGATAATATGTTGTCATAATCGTTGTATCTCTTGATGACTTACATACACTTCAAAAATATGTCTTTTCAAAATTTTAAAAATCACGTCAAAGAACTTTTATTTTTATACCAATGCCACAATTCTTAATAAGCTATCGTAAATCATTATAATAATGTTAATCAATTTTTATTATTTCCCCTTTGTTTCAACAAATCACCAGTTTCATAGGTTTGTTCTTAATAAATTACTATAATATATGTTATGTCATCAGCAATCAATTATTATTTTTAATCTATTTCTATAAACCCCTAGTTTCGCAGATTTGTTTTTTTTTTATTTGGTGTCATCGGCATCGACTGATAAGGTCATTAGCCTCGTGTTATGTGTAGGCTTTGTTACTATTTCCCAGCGCCACTTTAGGAACAGCACTGTTAATTAGAACCCAACAGTGAATGGTCGAGTGGGGAATTCTACCAAGGCATCAGAATTAATTTTAAATAATTAAATTAAATAAAAAAATCCTGGCCAACGGTGGGAATCGAATCTGGGACCCTTAGATCCACAGGCAGAGACTCTACCACTGAGCCACCCGCCCCTCAGATTTGTTTTTATTTTCATAATTGTTAATTTATTTTTTTTGTTTCTCTTGTTTTTTTGTCGCTTTTTCCTTATAAGCTTTATTTACTTCTTTAAGGTTCAAGAGGTAGAACAGTTTATAACTGATCTTGCACCTTTTCACCAAACTGTTATTTTCAGGATTACATGTAATTAGTATTAGTAAATTAAGTTTATTATTATTATTGTTTTCTTTTGACTTTTACCATGATTTTACCCAATACAGTTACTTACCCTTCATAAGTTCATCATCAACCAACATAATGCTGGACCACTATCGTAAGGCCAAAAGTAGGCTTTTATCTTTTAATTGTCGCATTAATTTTCCCTTTAATTACAACAAAAGGCCGGCAATATTTCGGCAATTCGTTGTTTGTGGGGATATTTTCACTATTTATTTTTTAATAGCATAGGTAAAGGTAAATAATTATAAAAGTTGTTTATGAAATGAAGCCAGTGAAAAAAAATGAATGTTTTAGTTTTTTACAAAATAAAAAAAAGAGTAGTATATTGTTTATGTTGTTTTATTAAGGATGTAAGACATACGGTTTTCAAATTATAATTAAATTTGATAATTTTAGAATACTTAGCTCCGTATTTTTAAACAGATCTCAACTGAGTCGGACTTGAGGGAGAGTCGTCCTTGAACGAAAAGCAGTTACAGTTTCTCTAAAGTTCCAGGTGGTTCCATTGTTACACTGGAATTTAGAGATGGATAGTAGCAAATCTGTAATTGTTATGTACATTTACGGATTTGTTACTACCCGTCTCTAAATTCACGCGATATAACCGAACTTCGATTTTCGTTCAAGGACGACCAGGGGCTGGTAACTCAAATGGAAAAACATGAGGAAGGTAATTTAGTACCACTCCAATTAACGGGATGGCGCTTGTATCGAAATGTCATGTCAGTTGTCAGCCCGTCAAAACTTCAAACTTGGAGAAATTAAAATGGTTATTGCATTTTGAAGGTGTATTGAATTTTGATTCATCTAGAATCTAGATTTATTTTTCAACACCTTCCAATTTTAAGCATGTTTTCAAAAGATGGGAAGATGGATTTCAGCAACAAACAATAAAGCACTCCCAGTTATTGGTAGTGATGCAATTTATACCACATTAAATATGCATTCGTCATATTAAGGATAACCAAATAATTTGTAATAAGTGTCTTAAGAAAAATGCACCATCACTGTTTGGCACCAACGTAGAGTAATATTTACAAACTTGTTTTTGATTCAGTGTTAAAATAATTGGTTTCTTATTTAAATTTCTTTTTGTTTTCAGTTTTCAAATGATCATTGTTGTAAAGAAAATGTTGGCCCTCTAAAATACCCTGTCGATCGATGAAATATTTAAGCCTCAGCCATCAATATCAAAAATTGATTCAATGCCACTGACATCAAACAAGAAAACAACCTAAAATCTTCAAGGGTCCAAACGTGTGTAAGTTTAATTTAAGCTCAAAAGTTAAATTCATTTATCACAGTGCTCACATGATGAATAAAAATTTGATAACTACAAGTGCTGTATAAATAAATCAAGAAATCAATTATCAGATGAATAAATGCTCCTCAACCTAACTATTCGACTCAATAACCGTATGGCAAATTTTATTCACACTCAAATTTGCCTCGATAGTAAAAAAGGATGATGCTTCAACTTCAATTTTTTCAAACTTATTTGCCACTCCAAGTCGCAAAACTTTTATAAAGGTTTTAAGCACTTATATATGCTGATTTTGTTACAGAAAACATTTTTGATAGGTTTGTTTTATATTTAATTATTTAAATGGTGTAAATGCATATTTGTTTGAGTATTTCCATGTTTAAATAGACAAATTATATAATGCGGCGTTAATTTACTGTAATAAAAAAAAAAATTGCATTTTATTTCAAGTTTGAAATTTTTGCAAAAATACAATGAAATAAAATCAAATAAAGATATATAAATTGGCAAAATTTTTGACTAGTTTCAAATCACAAAACAGTCAATATGGTTGTTTTATGATTTGAAACTAGTCAAATATTTTTCCAATTTATTTGCTTTATTTGATTTTCTTCATTACATTTTTGCCCAGCTACTACAAAGTTAAATTTCAAAAAGCCCGCTCGTGGCAGCCATATTGAATGTTCGTACCACTCCAATTTGATAGATGGCAGCACATCGACTCAGAATTTTACTATTGAGTTTCCCATCTATTCACTTTCACCTAATCTATGAGGACGACTGAGCTGAGTCGAACTTGGCTGAAATCTGTTTGTAAATACGGACCTTAATCTTGAATTCTTTCTTGTTTTTATTTGCAGAATATTTATTTAATTCTTAACAATTTTTTTTAATGGGAATTTTTGAATTGTAATAAAATAAAAGACACGTGTTCAAATATTATTGTTTTATTTTGTCAATAAAAGCTCTTAAATTCTTACACAATACAGTAATAAATTAATTTACATAGGTACTTCTATTTACAAAGAATTCGAAAAATGGAGTAAAATTAGGTAACTATACTCAAAAAGTAATCAATATGATTGTACAATAAAGTTTTTTTAATATAAAATACTTTTTGTTACTTAAAAATTAAGGATCATCAGTCTAATAAAATAATAATACAAAAATCAGTAGCAACGAGAGAATACTGTGCATGCAGATCGAAATACTACTGCTTTCGATATTGTGCACATGCATTTATAAAAAACAGTTTTATAACGTTCCATGCTTGTATGTATTTGAGGTATATAAATGTCTGAACACAAAAGTAATTGAGTAAATTAAACAAAATATTAATTATTCAGTCATTTTTTTTTAAATTTATGTCTACAATCAGTTGAACATAATTAATACTTTATAATAAGTAGTATAATGAATGAACAATTATTCACTTGAAACCTAACAGTTATTTTTATTTTAATTTTTAAAATTTAAAATAACTGCAACTTGAAGTTTAAAGTAGCGAGACATTTTTCAATATTAAATGTAACAAATTACACATCAATATCTATTAGTCTAATACAGTCTATTATTTAGATATTGAAAGCACGAATTTATGATTTAAATCAAACTATAAATACAATCACAATTTATTTATAGCAGACCCATAGAAAATCGAATAACTTATTACATTTTAACCGCCACTGGGTTTTTCTAAGCGTCTAACAGTACTACTTTTGCCGACTTATCAATGCCCATACTGAATACACTATTCTTTGTCAGAGGCGTAAATAGAAGGGGTAAAATTGAGGATGTCTTCAAAAAGTCTGCCTTGAATATGTATTCAATGTAAGTAAATACTTTGCTTAGGTCTTAAAATACATAAAAAAAATAGAATCAAAATATATCGAATATTGTATTTGTGAAGACTCTTTCAACAACAGCAATGTACTTTGCAAATTAAAACTGACATTAAAAATATTCATTTTTACGAAATATTTACATCATGAATTTTCGTGTATTTAAATTTAGATCTTATATACAAGTATAAAAGGTAATTCATAAGGAATGGATAATATTTTACCTGTAGATTCAATAGCAGGCAATATTAATTTATTTCTCAATAACTGTAGATAAGAAAAGATTAATTCTTACTGAGATACATGGTGTTAAAATTATTCAGTTATGATATAAATTCAATTTTTTCACACATAAACATACAATTAGGTTTTTTGACGTGAAAAAATCGAGCTATAATTTTTGGCATATCGCAAATTCTACATAAGCTATGTTGGTTCAACAGAATACGTCATAATATTGAACTCCCAGTAGCAAAAAACAATATTTTACATTTCAGAAGCTACAGATAAAATATGATCCATTCCTTAGGAATTCCCAGAGTTCGTCATTCTAAACTAAAGCTTAAAGAATTCTTTTTAATTTTGAAATTATTATCGCCTGTTAATTGAAAAATTATTACCCCTTAAGAAATAGTACGCCACTGACGTCAGCCTTACACTAATCTTCTGTGGACATTTGCGTGCTAGCGCTAGAGAATGATCCCCTGGCTTCGCCGCTAATACAACTATCTGGCACAGTAATGAAATTGCACTTTTTATAGTTCGCCCAATTTGAAGAGTTGCACACCCTCTTCAAAATGCTTTTTCTCTCGTTTTCATTTTTACACGTTACTACTACCTCTGGAATCACCCTAGTTTGCAAAAAATTAGATTTTGGATCATCCAGGTTTTGCTCTAAACATTCGAAGCTAGCATTTTTAATGCCAGAATGTTTCCTAGGTCTATCGATGATATCAAGGTTTTGAGAATGGTTCGATAAGTTGAACATTTTACAAATCTCCCTTTTTACTCTCTTATTTCTGTATCCAAACAAAAAAGGGGAGATGATATTGGAGAATACCAGTAGTATTAAAGACAAATAGTTGAAAATTTGGCTAGTATTCACTTCTATACACTTACTACACAAAACTAAAGTTATACCGTAGGGTAAATAACACACTAATACAAGAAATATTACTATAATGCTAATTTTAGCAGCTCGAGTTTCCTCGCGGTACTTGAAAACGGAAGCATTGGATATTTTATGCTTCAAATTACTGATGAAGCTATGGGAGCTCCGGTCACTGGGTGTCCTACTGACTTTCCTGTTCTTATCGTCACCGATAACGAAGGACTTTTCTTGTCCCAAACTGGAAAATTCCGGAGCGGAATGTACCTTTGGAAGAACCTCCTTACATTTATCTTGACTAGAATTTACAGGAGAAGCGATCTGAGTGCAATCTATATTTGGATTCAACGGTGCCGAAGCTGATCTTCGCATTCGTTCGCTGTTCTGATGAGCAGCTGTGTAGATACACACGTAGATGATACAGATCGCTACAAACGGAGCCAATATCACAAGGAAAAAGTAGCTGAAAGCGTATAAAGTGTTCAAGATTTTCACACTCTCACTGGGTGGAGGTCTGTTTTGGCAAAAATGCCACACACTACTGTCGCTGTAAGTTAGAGAGCTGAGTATAGCGCAAAAAAGCGCGACGAACCAACTGATTCCAATAAATATACTAGAGCGACATCTGTTGATGTAGAAATGGTACCGCAACGAATGTATCACGCCGAAATACTGGTTAATTCCTATTAAGAGTATACTGAATATCGAGGCAGTACATATAAAGCTCGTGGTGCTCTGAGCCAAGTAACATAAGGCAGTCGTTCCATTGATAATTGATATACTCGGTTCCTTCTCTGAGATTATATCAGCAGAGCTGATGATTTCTATGGTGTCTGATGTGGGATCGCTTCTGATCTCTTCGGTGTCAATAAGGATATCGATGCGACGAATTGTTTGGTTGACTGGTGATGGTTGAATGGAAGAGTAGCTGTCTGCGTCAACCAGTAGCAGGGGAATCAGTAGAATACTGGACAGAAGGTTGGTGACTAAGAGATTGATGATGAATCTGTAACAAAAGAAATGGAGATTAGTTGTGACAAATTTAAGAGAGCTTATATGGGTCAGAAGCGCATTACAGAAATATTTTTATAACGGATATTATATTATCCTACGAACTTTATTTATAATTTTTTTAACTAAAATTTTTCCCCAATATCGCTCATGATTCCAGTGAAATATTACAAAAAAAATTAGGTTAGAAAGCACATTACTCATGTCGCAACGTTACAGTTTGTCTACTTAAATGAACAATTAGGTGTTTGTTATTATTATTGTTTAAAGTGATCACGATTTAAAACAAAAATTGAAAGTGTTATATTGCACGATAATAATTTTGGTGTGTAAAGTGTTTCGACAGTAGTTAAAAGTATGGTCAATTAAATTTAGCTTGTGGAGTAATTTTTTGGCGATTTATTTTAAATTATTTACTTCCTCAATTTTTACTTCATTACAATGTTGTAAATTGTTCAAAGTTGATAAATGTTTCGTTTTAATATTTAACTTTTTTATAGAAATATATTGATTCCGTTGTTTTCATGCCTTATGCTAAACTCTATGACAATTTTATACTGTCTTTAACAGGTTTAGGTGATGAAAACTGGCCATATAATGACTAAGAATTATGTTTCTTCTTGTAGTAGTTGTTATGTGTTTTAATACGGTCGCAAATCAATTTTTTTAAAAAAATCACGGTATCTCAATTTACAAAAGATACGTTAGTAAAAAAATATTATAGAGAACATCTAAAAATTTACTCTCAAACACAAAATAAATGAGATAAAAATTGTGTAATTTCCACATAAAAAATCTGCACTGAATCAAATTAAACATAAGATAATGTGTATATGATAATTGAAAATTGGAATAATTATTCTTTATCAACTAAGTAATTATAGTTCGAAAAACAACATTTTCCCTTCTTTGATAATTGACGTTTACTGGCTTTCTCAGAATGAAAAGTTAGTGATAAGACGAAATTCTTGGGTAAATTACGTGGTCACACTGCATGCAGGTATGTAAGTAAGTGAAGTAAGTGCGAAAATATATCGTTTGTCTACGAAGGATGATTATAAATAATCTTTGTACATTTAACAATTTGCCACAACGATAAAGTGTAATAAAAAAAAAATTTAGAGTGCTCCTGGGCGACTTAAAGATGATTGATGGCTTCACATTTGAATTACAGGTGAGGAAAACCCGGAAAAATCCATCCACCATCAACGAAAACGGTAAGGCATCGCGATTTTTATAATATGGATGTCATATCAAAAGAAATCAAATTTCTGTTAATACAACATCACTCAAATCCTATAGAGAACCATGCGAATTAATTCACATGGTATTCGATTAATTCGTAACTGAAAAACTACAGGACCCCGATAGAACCACGCTCGCTATTCATTAAAGAAAATAATGAGATAAAAATAATAAACAGGAAAAAAATAAACAGGAATAATAATAACTGGAAAAAAATAAACAGAAAAAATAATAAGAGGAAAAATAAACACTAATAATAACGAACAGGAAAAATTATAAACAGGAAAAATAATAAGCAGGAAAAATAATAAATAAGAAAAATAATAAACAGGAAAAATAATTAACAGAAAAAATATTAAAAGGGAAAATAAACAGGAAAAAGAAGAACAAGAGAGATCGATCGAAGAAAAGGTAAAGATGAAAAAATCTCAGAATATATAAAAGTATAAAAAAATGCAATAGAATACTAAACATTTGTAAACCTAAGGCTATCTGGGAAATGAAAAGACAGGCAAAATATCCCATTCTAAGAGGAATTGAATCTGAGTTTATTAGAACCGTTCTTTGGCATTGCAAAAACACTCACTCGCAAATGAATTATCTAGAGTTGCAACATTCTCACGCTGGAGATATACCCCATGGTTAACTGATTGGAATGAGTTTATACCCAACCCTTCTATTAAAGCCTCTCTTCAGTTCCGTGAACAATCTACACATGAGAAGGATAGGTCTGCAACAAACATCGGACTGTTGATTCTGCAATGTATAAAACGAATCTGCAGAGCACATTCTATGTACCTGCGCTGACTTGGAAAGAATTAGGTTCTAGATTTTTGGAGTCTACAGAGTTTAAACAAGTCTTACCTAACTTAAACATGGTCTTCAGCAGATGGTGTGTTTTGTACAGTGAACTATAGTTCCATCTGTGCCGCAATGGAAGATGATGGGATAATCCCACTCATTTTCAATCAAATTTAAGTGAATTTGAATATTAATATCATACAAACCTGGTATAATTTTTCTTTTAGGTTTCCTATATTATTGATTGATGCTTTTAATATTATTTGAGAGCGATATCCCTTCAAATAGACATCTGTTCTTGTGCAGTGAGTGTGATTTGTCTTTGCTTATTAATTCTGTTGTAAATTTAGGCGATTACTTTATTTTGTCTATCTCTTCCGTGACTTATTTATCCACCATTGATAAATTGCTCTACAATTCAGTTCTTGATGCTTGTTAATAATGTTTTTTTTACCTTGCTCATGCCATTTTGTATGTATTTTCATTTCTCAAACAACCTTGCTTCCCCAATACTAACAGTAACCTTTGTTGCCACCCAGCCAGTTCAGAGCAGGTACAAAATACCAAATAACTTTGAATGTTTGGGGATACTGATTCTCTATTCTCTGAAGGCTACTGGACTTTAGCCAACGGTATTTGCAATAGGGTTTCTTGGAAAACAATTTATACTGACTTTATAATAAATCTGAATAATTATGCTATGTCAACAAAGTAATTATCGCATTGTAACATTAAAACATTTTTACCCTTACTGATTGACTGCGATGCATTCCCAGAATGTATGGAGGTACAGTAATAATGATAACATAATTTTTTTGCGTACATTACGTGGTCACTGTGCGTAAGTAAAATAAATACAAAATATTGTTGGCGGTAAAATTTGCGAATTTAATTGGATGATTAATGGAAAAATCGGTTTTTAATAAACAAATCGCAGAAGGTGCGAACTGTAATTAAATTGTTTGAAAAAATGTAAACATAACAAAGCTAATTGGAAAAAGCGATCGAAATAGAAATTGCACAATGTGCATAGTGTGTTAGTGGAATATACAAAATAAATACATCTACTTATATTACAAACGTTCGGTAAAATTTCAGGTAAAAGGTTTGTTGCTATAATTCAGCGTAGACACAAAAAGACAAAGATTTCATCAGAAATAAAAATTGACAAAGTTAAATAAGGCATATGTATTAGCTCAATAATGCTCAAATAAAACCATGAGCGAAAGGCGCAAAAAAATTATTTGGGTCAGCTTATGCTTACCTATTAGGAACCGTTCGAAGTCCTCTTCGTCTACAAAAAACGAACAACAAAAAAAAGTTGGCTGTGACAGCGATGACGGATGACGTCACGAGTCCAATGGTTATGAGCCAGTGGTAATCGGAATCCATTTATTGCCTGTAACAATAGAAAAAACAAACATTAATATAAAAAAAAAAACTATTTTGTGTAGTAGATAATACCCTTTATTATTCTAACATTCTCACACAAAAAAAGTTATTTGTATAGCCCTGATAAATGCTTAATAAATAATAGCATTATTTTATTTAATCTGCCCACGAAAAATCAATTTGAAAATATTATTGTACATAATTTCAAGGCACTAAAATTAGAGTAAGTATGTAAAACAAATATTTTTTAAATGTCTTTAGAATATTGGATGGGACGTAATAATAATAATAAAAGGTGACATAATCGTTTCCTTTTCATGATGTAGAATATAGCGATAATTTATAGCAGATAAATTAATATTAATTTAAAAATGAAAAATTATAAATTTAGTATTGATTGCAATTCATGTTTTTTAGACTCATACATAAAGCCCATCGTGGGGGAATATTTTGAGAAACCTTTAAAGAAATTTACGTCAATTTAGTGGCGTCTGGTACATAAGTGCTGTAGAGCTACAGAACTGCCAAAAAATGGACCAGTGGAAAACTTCGCAACATCATATTCATCTCTTAGTTGGGTCGCTTCGGTAGGATATGTGCACTGATTGGGCCCTCCACGCGTCTTTCTAAAAAGCAACGTAGTGTATGTGCTGCATTTTTGCCAGATTGGCGAGCTTTGATTATTAGTTGGCATTAATTCGTTTGCGCGCGTTTCCATTTTACATGAAAGACATGGATGTAGTTTATAAGTCAATAAACGAAAACTGATTTGTTTAAATACGCGTATGAATATATGTTTGCTGCTAAAAATCGGTCGAATAATAAAAAAAATATTGGGGGGGGGAGGCAGAGTCTTGCTGAATACCCAATGTCTTTAATAAACCAAAGTATTATAATTTGACGGTATATATAAACCAATGTCCATGCCAGTTGTATAGGTATTTGTGTGAAGTAATTTTAAAGAACACACAAAAATGTAATGGATGTGGTTTTTAGATTTAATTTAATAGTAGTTTCTTATTGTTTTGAATAGGCTTTTTTATGTTTTACAGCTTAAATAAAATTAATATAGAAAGAAATTTAAATATATCAGGTCTGATCCTCAATTTACAAATGTCAAACTTAACAAATTACCCAATATATATGTGATTTAAACAGTAAAGGATTATTGGTCTTTAATTATTTTTAGATATGTGTCAAATTTGCTGTATACAAATATATTTTTATATTTAAGGAAAATTAATTTTAATTTATATTTATTTAAAATTTTACAGAAATGCCAGTCGAAATATTTAAAATTACATTTACAGTTAGATTATTTAGGAAATGTAAACAAAAATAATACTGCCCTTTTGCATTTGTAATATTTTTTATTAACAAATCACTTGCGAAATCATAGAATTTTTAACAAATAATGCAAGTTCAGATGATTTGTTCACATCGATGTTTGTAGATATTTTTTAAATCAAGCTTATTTGAATTTTTTTCACGTTTTATATAAAATGATATCTAAAAACAATAACTATACACTAATCTTTTTGAATAAATGAACTAAATATTTATATTTATATTGTATAATTTGTCTTTGATAGTTAATTTATAAAGGACAAAATAAAAAGTCGTAATTAAGTTAATTTAGTGTAAAACATACCTTTTCTGTTATATTCTATTATTTTGTTCACAAATTTCGAGATACTCTTTATATAATTATTACTAATGGAACTACGATTTGAATAAGTTGCTTCAAATACAGACAGCTATTAAATGAAAATGTCACATTCTCGACATTCAGTTAAATAGATTAAGCACAAATAATTATTGATAACCCGTAGTGTCTATAAGGAAAAAATGTAACATAATGGGATTTTCCACGGCAAGATTATTAATTTTTGAAATCAATCTGTACCCACATTATGGTAAATTAATCACGAGGGCTATTTGATAAGTCCGAGGAAAATCAAAGAGATGGCGCCACGTGTCCATCTTAAGAATTATTTAACTTGCCTCAATTGCCAAATAACTGGTGATATTTCGCTACACCCTTCAAATAGAATGTTAAATAAAGTTAATTGTAAATTCCAGGAACCTGAACCTGGGTCTTTTCGTAACAATAGTCATGTAGGTTCACTATTAATAAATATTGTATGCAAATGCAATTAAAAAACTTATTATTAATTCGTTACATAATAATTCTACACTGTATTGTCCTGATTTAATGTATATTAGTAATAGTTATTTGTTTACTAAAATTGCCGTACTGGAAACTTTTCTTATATCCCTGTATGATGTTAAAAATAATTGTTATTAGTAGTTTAATTAACTATTAATAATGAAAGTAAGAAATATTTGTTTACATAACCCGTGGTTGGGAATTTTTTGATTCCTCATTTTGGAATATACCAGTTATACATTTGCATGTAATATCACACATTAATTTATCTTCTATGTAAACAATTCCCAATGAACTCTTTACATCAACAAAACAATTTATGTAAGTATATTAAAAACGATAATAATATACAATTGATTTTCAACCATTAGATTCAAAATCAACCAACTATTGGGATTAAGATCAAATTTGAATATTTTAAGGTTATTTTTTTCATGGTATTGCTGCTATTTCTTGTCTTTATCTTGCTTTGCTAAAATGCTAAAAGCTTTCGAGTCGCCAGTAACTAACTCTTCAAGTTCATGTCTTCTGCAACGCATCAATTGTATTGTGGCACACATTCAAGAGTAGCCTTGTAAGAAGCCTCTTCTATTTTCATGTCTAAACTTGACATCCTAGCATTTCATACCCAATAGTTAATTTTTGGAGATAGCAGCCGGTCTTATTTTTTTTGATAGTCTGACAATCCATTATTGCTTTATAGTAAGTTTTTGAAATTATTCTTAGGTCATGTTTACGAACAATAAAAAGCCCTTCAAAATAGGTATTTTCTGTTATAGTGACGGATGCGTGATACCATATAATTCATTTAATGTTAACAAAAAGAAGGCACTAAATCAAATGAAAGACACAAAACAGAAAGCTTCGGAAGAGATCAAAGAGGCCCAAACAATCAATTGTATTATAAAAGAAGTTCTATTTTCTCTTCATTGTACTGTTTTTTTGTTGTTGTGCTAAAATCATATATCCGTCACAGTCTTATACGGTCACGCTACTTTTCCATAATGCGAAAATTCGCGTTGGAAAATAAATATCAACTGTCTGATATTTTGAACCAAAAATTAAAGGGCATTGACACTGACGAAAATGCTATTTTTTGATAAATAACAATTATAATGCCTGACCTTTGTGCATGGCATTTAAGACATCGGTTTTTAATTAATTAAAAACAATATAAAATGTCTCCAATGGTCTAAATTAAGAATTTAATTTCGAAACAATGTGTCTACCAACAGATTAATTGGTAATAAAAGTTTAATATCTACTTTTGATATAAATATATGTATGTAAAAAAATAAGCTTGGAATGTTGCTAATTCATTCTTGGTAATTAGGAATATTTAATGTCTTAACTCATTTATATCATACATAAATTGTATAAATATTCAATAGTTTTTTTTCTGTTATAACAATATAAGTTATCAATTAACGTTAATGAATGTAAGGTATAACAATTTGAAGGAAGATGTCTTTGTTTAAAGAAATTGCCAATTTCTCTTGGGAGCTCATTTTCATGGTCTATGAAATTTTGCCTAACTATATAGGCAAAGTATTGGCACCTACAATGCTCCACTAATCCGTTTGTTTTGGTACAATTGTCAGAATTACAAATATTACATTGAAAAACACCGAAATTTTGAAAGATGATGTAAGTTAAATGTCTAGGTCAAGAATGTCTGCCTATGAATCTTTCATAGTTGCATCAGACTTGGTTAAATTCAGTTGAATGGATGCAAATATTTTAAGCCTCATTATGTTCATAGTGGACCAGATATATCAAAAAATATTTCGTCTTCTACGTTGTATTTTGGGATTTTAAATTTTTTAATATTTATATTGTGTTATATGCGTGTCTAATAGTATATGTAGCCCCAAATCCTGTTCATGGATGTTATGCATAATTTAAAAATTTCGGAATTTCCTGTATATTCGTTAAAGTATTTAATGAAATGGGGATGGTCTTAGAAAGTGCCAAGGAAAGGGAGTAAAATGCCATTTTGAGACAGCGGCGGAAAGTTGGCTAAGGGCGAAAAAGTACTTAATGCCACAGGTGCAAACTAGTATATTGTGCAACAAGTGTTCAATGCGGTATTTTATCGACGAGTGCACAAGTTTGTGATACGAACCGTTACGTGAGTGCCGCAAATTAAGCAATCAAATTATTAGGGAAAAAATATATAAACAAATCGGAATACAAAATTACAAAAAAAATCAAATAATTTTTTTATTTTTGAAATGCATACATATTGCATGCTTATTTTATAAATTAAATTGTGTTTCTTTAAGAATATTTTTTTAAATTTAGAATACCTACATAACCAAATTATTCTTTTGAATCTTTCAAAATGTTTTTCGACACTTTTTAGAAATATTAAATTTTTTAATTGCGCTCCTATTGGCCCATTTTTTTAAATTGGTTTTTTAATAATAAAAATTTGGTAAATATACATAGGAAAAATTAAATATTCTATGGGTAGCTTAAAATACTAAATGAATTGTTAACTCAATTAAACTATTTAATAAAATGGGGATAGTCTTAAAAAGTGTTTCGTGCCAAGGTAAGGGCGTAAAATGCTACTTTTAAGCCATCGGCTAAAAGTTGCACAAAGCGCTAAATTAATAATGAAAATTAATTTTTGAAAACATTTTACAAAATGTCTCAAATCAATGCTCAGAGATGCTACTCTTAAGTCTTACTAATCGCTCCTATTTTTTATTTTTATTAATTACTAATATTTTTAAATATAAATTTTAATCATATTTTCTATTATCGAAACAAGTACCTACATCAGTACTTATCGATACTCCAACTTTATTTATATTTTGTATACACGTTTTTTTCTTTATTTTATTGTAACTCCATTTATAAATAAAGTTTCTATTATTATTATTATTATTGTCAAATAGTGCAACAATTCATTTCTAAATCATTTTCATTACCCTAACAATATTTTATACTTAATAATATAACTTAAAATTGTTAATATTTATTGAAAAATTGCAAATTCTTATTTAAAAAATTATGTTATCTAGATAATCAAATATTTCTTTTAAATCTTGACCTACGCAATTCACCAATTTTTAAAATATACATTTTAAGTCGCCAATTTTTAGAATTAATAATTTATTTAATTGTCCACTTGTTGGATTATTTTTAAATTTATTAATATTAAAAAAAATTAAATATAAATACGGATAATGAATAATTGTATACCTTAAATTACTGAATGAATTGTTATCCCAAATTTCTAAAATCCATTACACCAAAATTTCGAGTCCGAAAGACATTCGAAATTCGCCAATTTTTGAAAACCACTAAAACCGCAACAGATTTATTTTTATTTATCACAAAACTGTCCGTTGTCGCCACAACAATTTGTTTAAACTCAAACGATTTTTGTCAGTCACTTTATTCGAATTTTTAATCCACAAAAGGTCACAGCACACGACCGATCAATTCTATTATCAAACTACAAATGATAACAAAAGTAACAAGTGATGTCAAAACTTCAAAACATCCAAGATACCTGTTGGCTAGTCGGGCGCGATCGTGAACGTAGTCGCCGCAAATTTTAATCAAAACGACTGGTTTCTAGCGTGGTCGGCCAAGTTCTAACTAAACTTTATAGTGATTGCAAACGGAGAAAATAAATGAGAGACCGCGGCGTGGAAAAGCCGTGCCAATATTGGCGAGCTTGCGCCATTGTTTTCAGGTGGTTTAATCAAAATTGTCGCTGAACTGAATTTTTTAGTAAAAGATGATGAATCTATTTTCAAAATCCCCTGTGCAATCTTTAGAAAAAACCCTGATTCATTCAAGACTCGATTTATCAAACCTACGAGTTTGATTAGCTTTAGCATTAAGTTGTATTTTAATTAAGAGAGGAAAATGCAAATAAATCTAAGAAAACGTAAGATGGCTAAAATGAAGATTTAAGGATATAAAAAATAATAATAGTAGGTTGTGCAATAAGTGAGGAAAACGATCTTCCTTCGAGCGCAGAGAAATTGTGACACGAGCCGTGAGGCGAGTGGGAAAATAATTTATTATTTGTTGAAATAACATTTGTCATTCGTAAAAAGATATCTACACATTGTTTTAACGAAACAGTTTTATATGTTTATTTGTTTTGTTTATCTCTATTATTTTTAATCTGCATATATTAAAAATATTAAAGTAAAATTGAAAAATTAAAATCAAAAAAGTCATTCAAATAGCAGGAGCTAAATACTCATTGTTTACAAACCTTTTGCTATAAGCACAGTCATAGTTGGTATTTTGTTTTAACATTACTTTTTCATTATAAATACTTAAATCTAAAATATGAACATATACAAAATTCTTAAGCTTAAGCTTCTTTTAACCCTGTGGAATCATATTTTTTTATCTAAATAATTATTTTAAAGTTTATTTAATAGGGTAGCCATTAGAAATGATTTTTCACAGCTTTTACTCACAGTATCAGAAATAAATAACTTTCAAACAAAGCTTTGTAAAGCAAGTGCTTCAAGGAAGTACTTTGAAGCATTTTCAAGATTCCAAGCCTTTCGGCAGTATTTAAAGTACTTTTACAGTACTGT